TTGGTTTTTTTTTAACTTCTCATGCATGATAGTTAGCCTTTACACAGATTTTTTTGCGGTTTGTTTTATTGGCTCATCTCCTCAAGTTCTCTTCGGCCGATGAATTCTTTTGGGCCCAAAGTTTCACCCATTTATAAATGCCGGTGGTTGGCACTGCGGACTTACAAGCATGGCTTCACACCGATTTCTTAAGTTGTTTTTATGACTTTGAATTTTGAGCTATATGACCAAACAACGATTCCGAGGTGAAGTGGCCTCTTGGTGTCCTTCCCGCCGTCGCCAAAATATCCTGAATTACCAAATTCTTTGAAAATCGGTTCCCAGGGAAAGTTTGCCCCTCTGAAAATAACCTCAATTAGATCTGCAAAACCCTGCAGCAGGGACTCCAGTTGGTTTCGTGACGACGTGTGCTAGTGCAGTAAGGGAGGCGGTGTGAGGGCAGCGCCCATTCTGCTTGCTAGCAATAGAGATATTTCCCTTCACAAAGGTTCAGCCTGAGCAGAGGAAGGGATCGCTGTCTGGGGGAAGGGGTGCAGACAAGCAGAAGCAAACCGCGCTATACGTTGTACCTTTTCAGTCCATCGTTAACTTTCGTAACACCCCCATGTGATATACGTGTTCGTGGGCTGAAAGTACCCCCATGGACGAGATTTCTGTAATTTTGGTGATTTGAATATGTCGATGTGTGCCCCTAGAGGTTTTGGATGAAGCAAATGCGATACGTGTTCACGGGCCTAACAACCCCAGAATACAGTTTCTTTAGACAAGTCTGCCCCAGGAGAAAAAAGTCGAAGTCAAGACTGGCTTGATTTCGGAAGATTGGGGCAGTAGAGGGTGAATAGTGCCGGGATTTGTTTCGTTTGTTAGACAAGAAATGAAAGTAACTAAGATGTTACGTGCAAATTCAACTACCGTACTCTTGGTTTTAGATATCCTATTTTCCAGGCGGAAACTTCAAGGGACTCTCCTGCCCGCATTGTTCCTGCGGTTCCATCTAGTAATGCATGGGCCCGAGGTCCTCCGACAAGTGTTACCAATGTTCACAACTCATCACAGCAAGGTAAGTTCACGTTGGATAGATTGACAACGGCACTGTTCGGCTTGGTGGGGGCGTTTTGCTGTTTTCCGTCTATCACTGCAGTGCTTCCGGTGGAGACCCGTAAACTCCTGTAAAGCAGTGCAGTAGCGGCTGGTTCGGTTTTGACAGGAGTGAACAGGTTTGATAATACTTGTAAGTTATCAGGAACCGAAATGGAGAGCAAAATGCCCTAAGCCCTACAGCGCCTTGTCGAGCTTGTGAGAATTGATGCTTCTATAGCATGTAGATGGGAATCATAATGTGAGAACATTGGATGACGTGTACTAGCAATATTTAGCCACACCCACTCCAGCATCCCCCTCGTCACATGCCGCTGAAACGAACGCAACGGAGCCTATGCCAAGCTCCACTAATGAACAGGTGGGATTTTCAAAGGATTTTAGGTTTACGTTTTATGGGGCAGATAGTACCCCAGTTTGTGTGCAGATTGCGTGATTTTAGCAGGTTTTTAGGTGATTTCAGGTTCACAGCCGAAATTAATGGATTTTCATGTTTTAAGGCAGCAGATGTGTCATCGTCTGCCACTGAGTCATCCCCCCAGACCGAAAGTTCGTCTACAGCGGCCCCGGCGGCATCGTCTGCACCCACTTCTGGCGCTCAAACAGCCTCACATGAAACCACGCCAGATTCCTCCGTTACGGCGAGCGCTACCACTGAAAAGGAAGAGGGGTAAGTAGCTTTATCTCCTTTTTTTTCCTTCTTGATACATTTTTCGCTTTGTAACCTTGAAAGAAACATCTGTTGAGTGTTTTAGTACGAAAAAGTTCACGTTCAATATCAATGCTCCGGCATTCAAACCCCGAAGTGCATCTGCTCAATTGCAACAAGCTCAACAAGTTGGCCCTCCTCCAGGTGGCCCCCCTCAAGCGATGATGGGCGCTGTTCCAATGGTCCCGACTGGAGTTCCTATTCAGGTAACTAACTGGATTAGTCTTCGTTTTCCCTCTTTTCCTTGTTATCGTTAGCAGAACTTAAACTTGTCATTTTCATAGTGCACTTACTGTGAAATTGTTGCGAAATGTTCTTGAATTGAGCGCTTGCGCAATGACTGAACAATTATTGATTTTTCAGACCGCGATGCCTCCCCCTGGCATGCTACCCACCATGCAAACGGGTCAGCCGCCCGTTTTGGTGCAGTGGCAAGGAGCCCCCGGACAGCAATACCAGGCAAGAACCAGATATGAACTTTGAGGCGCAGTCCGGCGACGGAGAGGGGGAGACAACTCTGGTAAAACATGTGAACTCTTGTGAAGCTCGAGCAAGCTCGTCGTTCGACCCACCAAATGATAAAGCCTGTCGACTTTTGTGAGCCCATGAAATACCTCTCTATATGGCTCGACACGTCGACGGGGAAGCAAACGTGCAAAATGCCCCCCCTTCCACCGTTACCGAACTGCCTCAACTTTGTGGATAGGGATCTCTTTTTTGATTGGACCGTTCTAGATGCCTGGCTATCAATACGTTGTGACTGGTGGTCAGCCGGTAAGCATGATGCCAAGCCAACCGATTGCGATGGGAGGTCCTCGACCAGGTGGACCGCCAGCAGTTGCATTCCAACAAGGTAGCAGAAGACAAGGTGAAGAAAAAGCCTCGGAAACGTGTAATATAGTCCATGGAAGGCAATAAAATGTTTAGTGATGGTCCCACATACAGCTGCTCAATGGCAACCTCACGTCATGCAAGTTGGGCAGGGAATGGTAAGGTTTCCCAGTCCTACGTTACCCTACATGCTCCTTTACTCGTTTTATTGTTCATCTCAGGTTCCATATGCGTATCAGTCATTCTCCGTGCAAGGAGGTGGATCTGGTGCTGGCGGTGCTGGTGTGGTTCCTCCACCGCCTCCACAAGGTGGTTTCACTGGTCCCCAAGCCCCTCCACCCCAAATGATGCCGGGTACGCCACAAGCTGCTGCTCCTCCACCAGGCATCTATCCGCAACGCTTCGTTCCTGCTCAGGTAATTTGGTTTTCTTTTCGCTGTGAGACTGCGTTCATGCTTTGCGTCAACGTTGAGCGTACTTCAGCGTTTTCAGCGAGTGCCCGCGAAAAATTCAAAACTACTTGCGAAGATCTTGAAACTATAGATCGATACTTATACTTTGCTTTCGTCGCTCGAAACACTGCCGTGCGCTCAAAACGCTTACCAACTTTTGAGCCATATATTATATTGCCCTTCAGATACAAAAGATCAATTACCTCCATTATAGGGTTACGTTCTTCCACAAGCCGGTGTTCAAGGTCAAGCGCGATTTCCCACTCCTCAACAAACCCCTCATCAAGCAATGGAAGCGGCCCATTTCCAAGGTAGAGTGAGAGTTTCTCTGATTCTTGTAAATTTGCGATTTTGAGTAGATGCCATTGGTTGCAGCTCAAGGTGCCCCTGGGTCAGCTGCGGCTTCAACTGGCCCGAATAGTCAGCCACCCACGCCTGGACCATCTCCAGCCCAGGTATGGCGTTTCGTGCACGTTTTAGTGAAAGCGTCTAGTTGTTTCGCATGCATTGTTATTATTGAATGTTTCCCGTTGTATGGTCGATCAGTGAGCACCAACGCGTAAATGTTGTGAATTAATGAGCTGTAGCATCGTATTTGTGAGATTGTTTCAAAGCGGCTCGCTTTTTATGCGCTTTGCCTTATTAATGCACACCAATATTTTTATAAACAATATTTCAAACATTAAGTTCCTTGCGGACTGATTGTTATAATGAGGCTGTTAATTTACTCACTGGAGCAATGAAAAGAGGCGAGTTCGCTGTTGTAGAATAGGTCCCCATTCCCATACATAGTTGAGGTGATAGATTTCCAAACCTTGGGAGGGAAAAGCGCCCTGAAGTTGAATCAGTTTATTTTTATAGGGGGTAACACTTTTCTCTTGAAGAAATTGGCAGCTCGGCAGCCCTTAACAAGTAGTCTGTTGGAATTCTCGCTGAGCGATTTTTTTCATTCTTGCGCGGATCGTCATCTACCCGACTCTCCACACAGTAGATCTCATTGAAAGCCCCAGCCCAGATAGCCACGCCCCTTTTTGCCACAAACATAAGCACACATTATACTCATAAAGTACAGAGTAGATAAATAAATTATAGGGTATAATGTGTGTAATGTAAATGTTAATTATATTTACGTCAAAATGGCTGGCTATCTGGGGCCAGGCTTCCGATGAGATCTACTGTGTCAGAGGACAGTGTAGAAGGCTCTTGCGCAAGAATGCAAAAATCTCTTCGCGAAAAAATCTCTGGTATCCTGCTTCGACTCGAGAGCTTCTAAGGCAGTGAGCACGATAGCTTGGGGCAGACGGATTGTTGCCGGCGTCATTGGTGGAAGAGCTGTGTGGGTGTGGCCAGACGCCCTCTCGCGGCTCTTTCACCAATAACGTTGACAACAACCGCCCTCCAGCAATCGTGCCCACTAACTTCAAAGCAAAACATTATGAACTTCTAGCCAGTGAACTCTTACCCATTTCTTTCGTCCTGTAATTCAAGGAAAACCCTTGTACTGTGAAGTTTAGCCCCCGGTTAATTGATAATGAAGTCTTTTTGATGAAAACTGAAGTACGAATAGGCTGCCGCAGTGTTTTTGGAGCGTAATGTGCCAAGATCTGATCTATTGTGGCCTTGAATAGTGTGGAAATGTACATGTTGTCATTGTGTGTGGTCATAGGGCGGACGAGGCGGTTCTCCGGGTCAACAGGCGAGCGCTATGCAGCAATCCGTTGGGCCACCGCCGCCGCAGCAGTTCATGGCGCCCGCATCGGCGGCTCCACCGCCTCATTTTTATGCAACGGCACAGCCGGTATGTATTTTGTGGCATGAGCATGGCAATGTGGTGATTAATGCATGCTTAATTATAATTTTGTGTGGCTTTAGTCAGAGGGCGTAGTTTCCGAGTGATATTTACACAAGGGTTATTTCTTCTCTCTTCAGGTGTACGGTATGTATTCGGCGCCTGCCGGTCAAGGTATGGTCGTCTACGGTGGGCCAGGCGGAGTGCCGATGGCTGTGCCACCAGCCCATCATGATGCAGCGATGATGCAACAACAACATCAGCAACAACAGCAGCAACAACAGCAGGGCGGTGGTCCGCCTCCACCTCATCAACAATACGCGATGCCTCATGAAGGATATGGAAATTTTGTGCAAGGTATATCTAATTGTTCATTGTTTTTCGTTTTCTCTAATGCCAGTTTTATCATGCTATTTGTCCCGTTTCAGCAACCCCATTCTATCAACAACCACCTCCTAATCAAATGTCACGACAAAATTCAGCCCCACAATCTATGTATCAACAGCAAGGGCCAGGTGATTTTTTAATTTGGCGAATGCCAAAATAGACTTAAAGTCACAGTTCGTGGGTGTATGTTGTGAGTGATGTGGTTCAACGGCTAAAGGGCATAAGTTCGTTGAGTTCTCGTTGAGTCTGTGATGATGAAGCAGAAGAAACTGTGCAAGACACCCCGAGTAAGACCTCTTCTGATTCTGGGCATTGTGCAAATGTGCCAGCGTTTGGACGAGTTTCTGCTTGTCAGGCTGCTGGTGCAGCTGA